TTTTTAATTCTTGTGCAGAAACTTTTACTTGTATTATTGCATATAAACATATTGTTAAATATTGTATATAAACAATATTTGCTAGTATAAGGATCCAACACTTGAATTCTAACTGACTAAGGGTACCATAAACCTATGTATATCTGGAGGGAGGGGTGGATCTGTGGCCTTGTTGACATGTAAAAACTATCTAACTACCAAATTAAAGTTATTTCATTGCCAGATAGTCTAAATACTTCTTGTAGGCATTATGTTTTCTCTCACATACCATTTTTAATCCATTTCCTTTTTTGATCGAATGTTTGGTGGATGCAGGTATTGAATAATGGATCCTCGTGAGTGTATATGTCTTGTATGTGGTTAATTATCGATTTCCACTTTGCAATGATCAATTGGCCAAAACCTTGTTTTGATGATGTTGCACACCAGTATAAATGGTTACGAATGGTTGCAGTCCATTTGTTAATAATTTGGCAGTTATTTTCATTCCCAGCCTTTATTAACTTTTTTGTTAGAGTCCTGGCAATATGCCAGATATCAAAATAATGCTTAATAGCCGGATGTTCCTCTCTTAACCATTTAGCAACACCTCTGTGTCTATCTGACACAAACTGCGACACAAGAACCTCAGAATCAATGCATTTCTAGATTGACCTTTGAAGTCCAAGTAATTCTATTTGTTGGGAAGAATTTCCTTTTGTTTTATTAGCCTGAAATTTAAAAGTACATGTAAGCTTGAAGTTTGATTGGTGTAATGTACTAGGTTTATCTACTAAAAAGAGCTTCAATTTACCTGCATTGTTTATATAGATTTTTGTTTTATTAATTGACATGTTTTGGTTGACTGTTTTCACATACTTTCTCAGCTGTAGTATCGCACGGCTTTTCCGTTTCTTCGACCTCCATTGGTGTCACAGACTGCACAAGTTGCAATAGACCAGGCGAGGAAGGGGGGGTATCGTCACCCATCGAGGGAATTTGCAAGACCAACTCTACCTGGTCAATTTCGATACGCTGATTACGAAAATCGATGTTATACGGAGAAATACGGTACCAGGAAGCCTCTATTTTACGTTCAAACCTCGTTTTCGTCCAAACTTGAACGTTTAACGAAAGTTTGTAAATGAATCGATTTTTATCAATTTTGATGTGCTGATTTCAAAAAATTATTTTATAAATGTAAATTCAGTACCAGGAAGCCTCTATTTCATGTCCAAACCTCGTTTTCATCCAAATTTGAATGTTGAAAAAAAGTTTGTAAATTTTTTATTCTCATCAATTTCGATATACTGATTTCGAAGGTTGATCTCATACGGCGGAATTCTTTATGCACTGGTCCTTTTTTCATGCTGAAATCGTTTATTTATCGTTTTCAATATTTCTAGAGTAAAATCTGCTGCACAGATAGATTTGCTTTAAAAGCTTAAAAAAGATTATGTCAAAAGGCAATATAATACGGCTAATAAACATTTAAAGTTGTTTTGAATAAACATTCTAGTATCCGTTGTCATCAGAGTAATTGCTATAATCATCCTCAAAGCAATTGTCATTCATTTAGTCAGTATTGTCTTCTCCAGCATCTTGATTGGTATTTAGAAGCAGTTTGGCATTATTATCTACTTATATGTCTTTACTCCACGATGCCTTACCGGCTGCATCCCAACCATGATCAACTGGACTGCCAATGCTTAACTGCAACTGATCCGCATTCCTGTAAATGTTTGCAGCATAAGCTGATCTAGCTATCTGCAATTATAGATTGGCAACACACGGTTGCATCAAACTAAGGTCAACAACTTTCCCTTTAGTTTTAAAAATCTTCCAGAAACTCTTTGAGCAGGCGCCATTGGCCTTGGTGACAGTTGTTGAAAAACCGTAAAGAAAGCATGTAAACCTCTCCAGGACCTCGATAGCATTTGGATGGGCTGGACATATGTTCCAAGCCTTGCAAAAGTGCTCACGAATTCGTTGCGCTTTAACATTGCTTTTCAGAATGACTTTTTCCCTTTTTTTGGAAATCATGGACACATAATCGATGTCGGAGAATGCCTGAAGACCAACTATTGCTCGCCTTTTAATTGAAGACAATGTTGATATGATAGACAGCATGAAGCAAGACCACTGAATAAATTTTCTGTATTACATTTTAAGTAGCGCAGTGAAAAAACTAACTAAGATCTTTCTGGAGAACGGCTATCCAGAGGATGTTATTTCAGTTTTCATTAAAGGTATTATGAATCGAAAATTTTCCCCTTGTTTCTAGACCAATTCGATATCGCTAATTCCGAAAATGCAACTAAAAATTGCATTGGGCAAATAATATTTTGGTTTTAACAATTTGAATTTAGTGCCTACGGTTCCAAAATTTGTACACGGGATCTGGAACGAGTGTATTGTTTGACACATTTTTGCCAAATGCGTGCGGCCTAAGTGGAATACAGTGTGTTTGTGACAATGTCGTCTAGTTCAAGCAGCGACGCGAGTATAACTGAATCAAATAATGCCACTTTAAATGAATCTAGCGGCGAAGAAGGATTTGCAAAGGTTTATGGCGCTGTTTTCATGCTATATCAGTACGAGCCTTTGGCCTCAGACAATAGCGATGAATCTGAAGAAGCTGATGATGAGGGGACTGATCAGGCCGAGGACGAAGATAGCATTAGGCCGTCGCAACTTCGTGATCGTTTTGAAAGGAATGTTGCTTTAAATGAATGGTAAGTTAATATTTCTATCAAACTATCATTTCAGAGCCAATTTATATTATTTTCTTTCAACAACACACACAAGGACAAGAATAGCTTCGGATCGGAAAACGAGTGTCAAAAGCACTTGTTATACTATCGCCCATCGACTGCGATCTCTCTAATTTGCAAAGTACAGACCCCTTTACGCATTTCACGTACTAGTTGTTAGTAAGTTAGTAGTGCTTCTTACAGCAGTATCTTGCAGTAGTAATGATATAACAAGGTAGGCTGATAAGCAGTACTGGATTACCAATCGTATGTATATTTTCAAAGTTTACAAAGTAGGGTGCATTCTATGTCAACTGTACGCCGAAGGTCCACTGGGGCATTTGTTTAGGTACGCCGAAAATATAAAAGCAGTTAGTAAAACAACAAACATTGTTGCGCCAGGCATAGAAAACTGATTATCAAAGAAAACTGTGGTGTAGGAGTCGTTAACTATGTACATGGCTTCATGTTTAGCATGCCAACTAACGAAATTTTTTAGTACGCAAAAAATTTTTTTTATTGGTTTGCACGCTGAACGCCAAATAAAAACCTGGCTGTACGCCGAAAATCTTTGGGCACTTAGGAATGCACCCTGGCGAAGTAGGCTAGAAGAGTGTGGGCCCAAAAAAAGAAACAACTTGGACTCTTCCTTGTGTTTCTTCTTTTTCAAATTCGTGCAGAAAATTGTGTAAGCACCATATTTTGCTGAGTGCCCCATTGAATCAAAACGTGCATCACCACAAATTGTCACTTCCTTTTGCATTTCATCTCTTCTGTCAAGAGCGTTTTGTAATTTGCCCAATGATGTAGGACAGAAGGAAACAGAAATTCGCGCTGATGCAGAAAGTAGGTCCTTGCTTTGTAGGCTGCTAATCCCATATGCTTAAATAGCAGAAGGATTTTGCTTATCGAGGCACCAGCAGTTAGTATGCCAAAACTGAGCAGAAAATTTCCTGCGGGATAACGTCCAAGCATGAATGGCTGCGATTGCCAAGTAAAGGACTTCTTTCCACATTGATCACAGTTTTGATTTACAGTTATCATGGTGCCATTTTTGACCAATTCAACATCAGGTTTGCCAACTTTGCACTTGAAGCAGAACATTGTAAATAGTTGCATCAGCATACTGCAAAACACAATGAACTTGGGCTCTTCTGCCACTGGAGTTTTCAGATCAATCTAAAAAGTGATGCAGTGAAAAAGTTTAACCAGCAGAATATGAACTAATTCTGATTTTTGACAGTTTTTAACATTTTTGCTCTTTAGATCGTTCATCTATGGCTTCAATTGGTTGAGTGCATAAGAATAGGATTGATTTGTCATTCTGGGAAAATTTGTTATGTGCTGCAAATTGACATTTTTCGTATTTTTTCTTTTGCTAATGCTTCAACAAGAACTGAGTAACTTAAAAAAGGTACCAAATATTTTTGCAAAAATAACATACTTTATGCGGTTTGATTGGATGTTTTTTCTTTCATCATCGTCATCGTAATCATCATCATCATAATCACCACTTTTGTCATCCATATCATAATCATCATCATCATCATCCATGCCCCCATCTTCTCTTTCACCGGAAGATTCATCGGATAAGCCAAAATCAGATTCTTCAGAGTTTTGCTCTCCGGGTTCAAGCATGCTTTCTGTTTCGTCTTTTTCTGTTCCAAAGTCAACTTCATCATTTTCTAGGTCGTTTGCTTTTAGCAATTTGTTGTACTTCTGTTCAGAAATTAAAATATTGTTAAAAATTTTTTGAATAGATTCAATTATTCTACATAGAAAGTTTTATTTATTGTTATATCGACTTTTTGAAAACAACAGTTTTCCTAAGTGCTTGCTTGTCGAGCTTCTTTCCTAACATGTTTTGAAATTACAAGAAACTCCTGTCGTCTAAAAATGTGTACGTACTTCTTCAATTCTTTGTTTTTGTTGAGCAGCTTTTTAACACTTGTGGCGATTCTTTTGTATTTTCTGAACAACAGAATCCTTTTTTTCTTGCTTCTCTTACATCCCGAACAGTTTAAATTCACTTCACAGTATACGTCTCTTGTTGCAGGAGGCACGTTAAAATCTGCTTCAGGAAGTACCATCTCTAGATCATTTTCTGTCTCAACCGGCTCGGCTTTATTGCATTCCGTAGATTTTTCTATGGGGAAATCTTTGGAGCACGCTTCTTTAACAATCTGTTGATAGTTATAATCGAGTAAATATTTCAATTAAACAGGCACAGAAACACAGGATACAATCGCTAAAACAAACCAGTATCCAAGGCCTGTGCCCCCTTTTTCAACAATTGTACCTAAAAAGGGCGTTTCCCTTGTTCTCCGGGAGACTTAGAGACGTGGCCACAGAAAAATTTGGGTCCGAGCCTGCTGTCAACGACCCTGGTCTTCGGACAATGCCCCCCTTCCCCCCCAGTAGCAACAATTTAGTTTCGTCAGTGAAGCCTAGAGACAAAGACTTCCTAAAATATTTATAGGAAAGGGGCTTTATACCAAAAAATTATTGGCCGATCTTAAATCCTGCCTTAGTTTATCAAAGGAAACTAGAACAACGAAAAAATTAAATAAATGAACTAATGTAACCTGATAATAAAATGAAGAATAAAATAAATAAATATAATTGAACTTGCCATTCGTTTTTCTCTGCAACTTGGTTCTCCCGAATTCAGCGCTTTAGACGATATATGTTCATAAATGGTCGGTACTGCATAGCGATTGAGAAATCGTTTTGTATTCTCAGTATCAAAACCTGGAAGATTCATAGCCGCCCCGCGTGTATATGATGCACTTGTAAAATGGCTCGAGAATAAAAAAGGGCCGGCTGTATAGGCTGATGGGTCGAAGTCAAGGCGATATCGTCGAACAAAATTCGTCCATTGTTTGCGAATCGCAGGATTTTTAGGAAAACGGTGCAATGAAACTCCCGGAATCTGAGTACTGTTCTTGCAAGATTCTTTGTTTGGTAAGCCAGCGCAGCAATATTTTCCACCTCTAGAACTTTGTTTTTCCATGTCAAATTTTCCACAGCTAAACCTATTTGCTCAAGTAGTAAATTTCCTTACCTTATCCTAGAAACCTTTATTTCACAATGTTGGAAATGACGGGATATCCTCATATTTATATGTAAGTTGTTGTGTGAAAACGTTTTAATGACGTAAGCAAAGTACTAGAAAACATCGCGAACGAACAACTTTACATTACGTCAGTATAGGGGTTGGACTCTTTAGAGGTAAATTAAAATAAATCTGAAAACAAAGCGAAACACGTTTTTAACAAGCACGGTTTGTTTAAGTTACCGTTCATACCCTGACTCATTATTAGGTTGATCGATAACTTTTCACATTGATGAGGTGTTGTTATGAGTCAAAGGACGATCAGTTTCCGTTTTCAAAAGTATATTTAGTTATATGGGCACTTTGGAACCTAAAATTCAGGAAACAAAGCTTATTTGATGGTGGGTGTAGTCGTATTGACGACTTGTTTGCTACGTAGGCAATGAGAATGTGTCAAACACTTTACGTCACAGGAGACTAGGGCAGAGCGGTTTGACCGCGTTTGAAGTAGGCCACATTTTGAAGTTCGTAGTGCAGCAAAATCGAGGGTTTGGAGTGAATTATCAGAATAAACACGATTAAAGTTTAGCAAATGGATACCACAGTACAAATAAGCAAAGTGAGTTCTATCGATTAGGTTAAAATCATTTTTCGATTCATAATACCTTTAATGGTCTTCACACAGCCCTACATTTTACATTTGAAAAGGAAGAAAATAACTCCTTGCCATTTCTGGATGTTTTGGTTGAAAAATCTGACACTGGATTTCTCACCAGTGTAAACCATAAACACACATTTTCGGGGTTATACACTCGATGGAGTTCGTTTTGCCCAAAAAAAAGAAAAATCAGCCTCATCAAAACGCTTACACATAGGGCACTGATGATTTGTTCCAAGTCTAAACTCGACTCGGAACTTGAAAAACTAACTAAGATTTTTCTGGAGAACGGCTATCCAGAAAATGTTATTTCAGTTTACATTAAGGAGAAGATAGGAAATTTCTCAGCTGACGTAAAATTTGGTCCTCAAAAGTGTCCGGTCTGTCTAAAACTACCCTGGATCGGTAACAGCTCCCTACGTTTTGAAAGCCAAATAAAACAGGCCATAACAAATTGTTTCTTCGCGGTTAACCCAGGTGTTGTTTACAGTACAAAAAAGGCCCTTCCGTCCATTCAAAAGGACTGCGTTCCTGCCACAAAAAAAGGATCTGTTGTTTATGAATTTACGTGCCAGGGTGATTCTGGCTACGTAGGACGCACCACCCAAAGATTGGAGGATAGGATAAAACAACAGGTTCCATCTAATATTAGAAACAAAACACATCCCTAAAGAGAACAGCCACCTCGCTCTTGCAAATCCAAAATTACTACTAAAACCTGCGATTCTGCTATCGGGCAGCATTTGCTAGAAAACCCAGATTGTGCAAAAAACTATAATGGCGACATGTTTCGGATTATTGGAAAAGCCCGATCGTCGTTCCACCTAGCAGTTTTAGAATCTATCTACATAAGCACGAAAAAACCGCTACTGTGTAGACAAAAGGAGTTCGTTTTCACCTTAGGACTCCACTGGTAACATTCTAATAGGCCAGCGGCACTGACTGGTCAACCTCTACAGTCATGTGCCCGTGTTTCTGATTGGCCTATTTCGATCCACAACTGGGTGTATATATATTTCTAAGCGTAGAGTTTTCGATCTATTTTCTGACGTTTTAAACTCTGAAGAGTGTCAGACGAAAAGCTTTAATTTACTAAATGTTTGCTTTTTTCAAAGCCATTTAAATGTAAGTTGTATTTCCGTTTGAAAAAACAAATGGCACTGTCAGGCCAACATGCATGTCAACAGGGATCCAATTTCCAAAAGAAATCAGTATATAGCATTTTGATGAAATCCTCTGACATTGAGAAATAAACAGTGTTTGAAATGACAGCTACATTCAATATTGTCTATAGTTTAAACATTAATAGCTGGATCATTGATATGGCAACAATTCAAATTTGCAATGAAATGGCATAATGCTATTTCTCAACTGGAAAAGACATGTGCCCTTTTCGTAAATAGTTGCAAGAAGAGTTTCATGTGTGAAATTTTCATGCATTTAGTGAAAAAAATTCAATCAAGTGTTTAATTTAGAGCGTTACTTAAATTAATCAAGCAAAATCAAATTACTGCAGAAAAACAACAGGAAAACTTTACATAGAAATTGATGCAGTAGAAAGTACATCTGTAAACAAATGAACAACTTTCCCACGGTATAAAAACAAGTATGATGGAACTGTTTTCTGGCTAACAACAAAGTCTGTGAAACTTTATCACATTGGGAACACAATTTTTGCTTAAGAATTGAAAAACAAGTTAGAAATGGAGTGGAGAAAAATTCATTAGTTAAAACCACAAATTTGAATCTTCCCTTTATTTGAAGGACAATTGCCTAATACGCACTTAAACCGGATATGGCCGATGATTGGCTAACAGCGATTAGCCTTGGTTACCAGGTAGCAATGAGGCAAACCAGATTTGTTCCTAGCGTAAACATAATGTATCTTGCGATTTTGTTGTGATTTACAATTGATTTTTCTGGGCTTTACGAAGTAGTTTATTATATTCGCTGGCATTTTGAAATCTACTAACATTGCTTTATTTGTACCTTCGATTGGAAAAGTTTCTGATTTCTGATAACCGTGCAACAGAAGGAAAATTTGTTCCAGAATCTTTTAGGCTGTTGCTGTTCGTCATCCGTTCATTGCATTTCAACTGGTGGATTTATTCGACTATTTTATTCTTACACCTTAATTTAAAATCGTTTGCAACTGAACAATATGCCAAGCTATTGTTCAGTTAACGGTTGCAGCTGTCCCAGTTCCAAGAATCCAGATCTATCTTTTTTCTTGTACCCTCTTAAAAATGAAAAGCTTCTGTGGATTTTCCCTGCCCTCTTATCCATTTAGTAACCCTTGCTTTGCAGCATGGCTCCGTGTTCGTCATGTTTACGTAGATTCCACAGTACGTGGTTATATGCTTGCACTATCAAATGCTTAAATAGGAATTAATCATAGCTGTTTTACGCAGTTTGTATTGTTTAGTTAACGTTTATACGCAAATTCCTCCTCGTGAAAATGAGGCCAGTTAATAATTATCCAACCCGTGCTTGTTATAAGTTTTCACATGAAAAATTTATGTAAATTGTAAGAACGCTTGTTATTGGTTCATATTTCGTTAATTCCTTGTTGGAACATATAAAAACATGTGAAATTACCAGTAGTATCGGTATTCAAGCCTAGAGAAACGAGAATTATGTGATGAATAAGGATTGCTGAACGCTAAAAGGATTCTTTTTCTTGGCTTTTCTCTTGGACACCGACAACTATCTGTAGAACCAGCGAAAGATAGGCGAAAGTCTTAACAAATGGTCCACGTCGAGCGAAACGGATATTGTCTATGGTGAATTTTTTTGAAAATGGAAGAAATCTCAAGGAAAAGAAAAATCAGAGGTGGCTACAGAGGGTACGTCTCTCAAATAATAGCAAAAATCGGGGATGTGCAAATTTTGGAACTGATTTCGGAAAATGATGACAAAGATGGAAGTTGATGTATGGCAGCGTTTCCTCCACGAAGTTCAACAAGGTTCCTGCAAAACTGCCCAAATTAGAGTTGAAGAAGTTCTCTGGGCGCCCAATTGACTTGCCCGGATTATTTACCAACATTATTTTTTGCCCTTGTCGTGTGCCGACCAATGGGCCTAACCGAGCTGGCCTAGTAAATTTTCCGTTCACTTCATATAATGTTTCCAAACGTCGATGGGTGAGTAAGCAACGTTTGTTTTCTATTTGTTCTTTAAATTATTGATTAAATTGTATATCTCTGCTAACACCAGGTGTAAATGCCAAAAATGCAATGATTCGGTCCTAAATGGTGCTAGAGAATACCGATGTTGCTCAGAGGTCAATGCCGCTGTTGATAAATTGGCAACTGATGGCAGCATTGAGAGGATAAAATGCATAACAGGGCACAAGGATTATAAAAAATTGACAGAGACGGTGGTGCTTTCTCACCTGGGTATACTGCTAAAGGCCTTAATGGCAGAGTCTCCAAGCAACGGGCCCGTCATCCAAAAAACGAGTAAGTAAATCGACAAATAATTTTCGTTCCAGCTCACAGAATATGGTCATATAAACTTAGCTGGAATGCACTAAGATTAACACATAGGGGACAAAAACTGAAATAGGAACATTTTTCATTTTTTAAATTCAAATATGAATCAGAAGCATTGTAATCTGTTGCCTTAGGTCAAGACCTAAACATAAACATTCAACGCAGTGTCAATTTGGCCCTACAAGAGGCTACCTTAGGCAGTTAGCAGTTGTTTGGAATTGTTGTCACCCTAATTATCTTTCCAGATGCTTTAAATGGAGACAAATGAAATTATCTGTTATAAGGGGGTGGGGGATGCCCAATTCTGTTAACTAGCATACAAATATTTCTTAATGACCATTAACATCTTTAAATCTAAAAAAGTTAAACAAACAGTTTGCAGTGCCTTATCTTGAAGCTGGAAGCCCAAATGGGACTCAAATGTAACAAAAACTAGAAAGTAATGTTGACAATAGTGATGTACTGTATGTAAACATGTAGTAGATTGATTGCCTACATCCAACATTTATTCATGTTTGTTGGGCAATACCCTTGTAATTAAAAATCATGGGCAACTTCATCTTATATGCTTCTTTTATTTATTTATTTTAGAGCTTTTGCTAATAGATGGGTGATACGCTACATTTTTGCTTTTCTTGGATGGGACAACACGAGGCCACTGCCTGCCTGTGCATACGGGGCATATAAGGCACTATAGAGTAACTACTCTAATTAATCCTCATTAATCTCTGTAGTGTTGCAATGTCCTCTTGGATGACCTTTCATTGACATTTACGGCAGTCTTCCTTTTCTGGTCTGGGTTTTAGCAGCAGCAACAGCTAGAGACTTTTCCAAATTTGTCTCTTTGTGAACTATGAAGAATTGGCAAAGTGCATCAAATTGTCAACGCCCTTACAAAAATATTTTTAAATTGGCTCTATAAACAAAAAACATCTTGATCTACAAAAAATATTTGCTTTCAAGATTGTGTTGTTTTTAAACAAGTAAATAGATTTTGTCACACAGGATATACCAACCATCTTTTTGGCATTTAAGTTGAATTTTATCAAAATTCTGGCATACCTCCTTTAGTATTTATAAACATTATTATGTTGTTCACTTTAGAAAATCAAATCAATTAATCTTACTCCACTTACTTTGCGGATACAGTTGGGTAGTAGTTGTCCGTCTTTGCATTTGTTGCTCCATTGTATCTCTTTTGGACAGTCTTTCCCCAAACTGTGTGGTCAATGGCTGGGGCTGATGATCGAGGTATGAAGCAAGAGCTTCACTTTTGTCCTTTTCACTGGTCGAAAACATCACATCTTTGATTTCTCCAACATAAACTACCATAAAGACAAATTATTATAACTTTGTTACCGAATAGACATACTCCTCGTGGTCAAAGAATCTTTGCTATGTTAATTCTACAATTCAGTGACAATATCTTTTTCAAAGACACCTATATAATTACTATAATTACCATATGTTGGAGGAACTGCAATTTCTCGAACTAATTCTTCACCAAATTTATATTTTGGATATGTTACACTTGTATATGTTGCTCCATCTTTGGTTTTTTTTCTCACGGCGAAGGTTCTCGTTGAAATAGAGTATTGCCAAAATATGCCTCCTTGAACAAAAGATAAATCATGTGATAGATAAAGGATGATAAAGGATGATAAGTTTCATTACAATGCAATATGCCCTTACATAAACAATTGATAAATTCAGGAACTTTGGGATACAAACAAAACTACATAATGAATCATCTTGTATATACCCAAAGTTAATTTGATCTGATTTCCTTAGTATGCCTAAAGATTATCCTAAGCAATTTATTATTCTACTTACCTACAGAAAGTACCGAGCCATGAATAGTGAGTCATTTTGGGATGCCAATGATTTAAGTTGAGTGAAAGCTCTCCAAACAACTTGTTTGAGCATCTGACGAGGCCATCTTTATATCGTTTAATAGATTTGCATTCATAAGTATGGTGTGTAACCTTTCATGTGCTGCAGATCCTTTAGAATGATAATAACTGGGTATTACAATTTATTTTTTAATTGAATTTGGATAATTTACATATTATGCCTTTAGGACAAGAAGATACGACAGCAACAAGTGAATACAGTATAATAAGATTCATTCATTATTATGTTCCAACCTTTACAATCAATCAAATTTGAAAGAGGGGGACACAAATAAAACTTTATTGGGAATAAGGAAAATGTTGAAATCTTCCCAGAACCCTGAATATAACCTTAGTGGGAAAAAGAAAAATCTCAATATATATATATAAATAATGCACTTGGTTGAGATCGCACCCCATTTTATGACAGCAAAAGCACCAATCATGTTCACCATAATATACATTTGTGTGAATGTGAATATAAAGAATAAGCATAATATATAAGCTTCAGAGGGTATCGATACTGCAAGGGTATCTCTCTTGAGCCACTCTCGTCCCTGGAATTGACCATGAGTGCATTTGTCAAAAAGCTGATCGGGGTGGTCAGTATGTTTATTTGAAATGTGTCGCATCAACGACTTCCATTTGGCAATAAACACTTCTCCAAAGTGCGCTGTGTCTTTGTTGACACAGCGCACCAGTATAGATGACTCCGTATACCTTTCAGGCAACCCTGAAGTTTTTCATTTCCTTTCTCCTTAATGGCTTGTAGAACCTTTTTTGAAACTCCTTTGACCATATTCCAGAGATCGTGGAAATGCATTGTGCCTGTTTCTCTCTAATCCACTTTGCAATGCCTCTGTGCCGGTCACTTACAAAATTTGAGACATGCAAACCACAATCATTGAGATACTGAAAGCACAATTTAGCAGCACTCAGTTCGATGGCATTACTGCTTCCAGCTTGATTTGACTGCAAATAAAAGGAAAATTCTGTAAATTAAAATAAATTTCTGGAAACACAGATACAGAAATGTATATAATATTTAATGTTAATAAAATATTGGCACCCATGTCAGCTGCAACTTCATCGTCAGTACTTTCATCTTGTTGCTCCATTTTGTCAAGTGTCGTTCGTAAAATCTGGTGGATTGAAGATAATAAAGTGTGTTGCTTTTTGAGAAAATAAAGGCTATTCTTCTTTCTAAATCTGACATACATATAATATCAAATAGGCTTCTGCCTAATTATAATCACCCTTTTCTATTTGACAATTCACGTATTCTGATCAAATATACATAAGTAATTTTATTTCAGTTTTAGAGAGAGATAAAGTTTTGACCCTATTCTACAGAAGTAAGGACTTAATTTTATAGCATGAGTGATTTGTTTTAGGCCCTACCTGCTTTCGTTCTGGGAAGGTTGTGCCACTATCAACTCTCTTGTTGGCTATATCAATGCTTGGAACAGCGACTGCATCTAGTTTTGTTTCTTATTCCGAGCTCTTTGGCTAAACCCCTTCTCATCGTGTAACACGTGTCTTTGAAATGAATTGAACACAAGGCAGAGTATTTTGATGGTTTGAAACTGTGTCTGTGACGGCAAACAAATTTCATCCATTGCTGATGTCTTGTTCTGTCTACAGTTCTATCGGGAAAATAATGGAGCGCGATACCCTCTGTAAACTGTGTATTCTTGCAACTGGTCCCATCAAATGTTCCAGCAACGCAGGTTCGCCCATAACCTGAAGAGCGCTTCGAATTTGCCATGCTACTTCTACTACTATAGCCATGAATGAATGCGTGACTTATTCATTCATATATCATGACTCATCACTGTGACATCACAAGAGGACTTCCGATTTTGCAATGAATATGCGTAATGTGTCGTTTTTCACACGCAATAAAAAAGAATTGACAAGGAAATTCTGTTTTTTTTATTTAGAGCAAGAACCTTCAATCTATGAGAGTAGCTAATAAAAAAGCTATCGAAAATTTGGTTTAATAAGCCCTTTAAGTTCAAACCTCCTGGTTTGGGAGAGCAACGTAGTTCTTAACAGCAACGTAGACGTTTCTTCTGGTATCAGACCATTATCAAAACTATCGGAAGTCAAATCATTGTCAGTGAGATCGCTAAAATTGTCAAAATCGCTGGGTGGCTTGATTGGACGATAATTCGGATCGTAATATGGCTTTAGTCTATTTGCATGAACTGGAACAGATACTGGACGGTTATCTAGAGTTTGAAAACGAAGGTGAACTGGAGAAACCTTTGCGACAATACGGTACGCACCGTGATAATTATGCAATAATTTTTTTGATACTTGCTTTTCGGTGTAAACATCTCTACTTTGTCTCAGATATCGTAAACAACTGGTTGACAATTTCGATCGTAATTTCTTTCATTTTCTGTTGAGCCAACTGCGTTTTAGGAGAAACCATACACTGTGCATTCTTCAAATTTGTAAGTATGCCTGCACTATGCTCAGCGACAGATGATGAAAGATGAGCGGATGGCAATATCAATGCAGCATCTACAGGCAAATGAAGCTCACAACCATACTGGAAGTAGAAGGGTGACTCACCAGTAGAAGCAGCAGGCGAAACACATGCGAACAGAATCATAGGGATGTGATTATAAGCAACGAAGGCCCAATTCCATCATGAAAACAAAATTATAAATTGTTTAAAACAAATAAAAAACACTGTCTCACCTGCTTGACTTGAGGCTTGATATTGCAGTGGCTGAAAATTCTCATAAAACTCGCATTTCCAGCTGAGAATCCTTATAAAACTCAACAAAATCTGTCACTGAATCCTATTGTTGTCAAAGAACAAAAATCAGATTCCTATCCTAGTGGCTTGACAGCTGGAATCAAGCTACTGCTGCAAATGGCTGGACCCATGATGAGGAACAGGTAATGCTTCTACTTTATCTTTTGGGTTGAGAAAGTCAATTTTATCGTATTTTGTCGCTTGAATAAAGAATGATGCTAATCTTTTAAAGAAGGAAATTGAGGGTCATTCACCTTTGCAAAGGCTACAATAAAGAAATCTGGTGGGTGAAAGATACAAAAAATCTCACGAATCCGTGGCAGATTTTTATGAAGATATCTGTAATTTAGTGCAATGGAGATGGAGCACAAAATCTCCCGAATTCTTAAGGGAAAAGTCTCTCGAATATTTTGTCAAAGGTTTAAAGCCAACTTTCGAAACAATTGTGAATGAAGAAAGGGTCACTGTAGCAGGCTGCTCGATGGGCTCCAAGGAGTTCTTGTGGCGAAAATTCTATAAAAATGTAGCAAATAAGAAACACTGCAATACGCCGAGAATACACAACAATAAATACACATAAATCAGTAAAGGCTAATATTTCGCCCTGGCATACGGAGCTTCTTGATATGGGATATCAGAAAGCTCACACATAATTGCGTAAAAGGGCAAAAGCAAAGTTCTTGCCATCGATTCAAAAAATGCCGAAGAACCCTGCTCCACTAACAGTGACTTTTCAGAGTTGCTAGAAGGCATGAGAAGAATAATGCAAGACCAACAACGCATAATTGCTCTTCAGCTCAGAATACTGCAAGACTCCCCAGAATCTGGGCTCAGAATCTTGGCCCAAAATTACTGGTACATGGGAAGAAAATTTTCAGCCCTCAAAATTTCGTAGAAATAACATTCAGTGCTGGAACTGTGGAAAATGGGGACATTTTCAAAACAAATGCAGTCAGCCCTGAGTACCTAAGAATTCAGAGGCTAGTCACGATCAACTAGATATGGGAGCCAATTTGGAACAAACAGAAGCGAAAGTAATAAACATTATTTCCAATAGATGCTCAGTCAAGCAACAAGGTTATGTTGCTGGCTTTGTAAATAATATTAGTGCTCTTTTGTTGATTGACAATGGTGAAGATATTTCATTAATGTCAAAACAATCTACAATGAAATTGCAAAAAAGTATATTTTGATTTATGATAATGTTGATTTGTTTGCTGCTACTGGGACGCCTTTATCGAGTTGGGTAAGCAGAATTTTCTATTCAATTTAACGATCATGTTTTCAAACACAGTGTTTGACTCTGCAAAGACTCTTTGTTGCTAACAAAGCTGCCATTGATTTTGGAATATTGTCAATAACTATACCAGATCTTGTTGTTAAGGTTTTTTTGCCCAAATAAGAGTTTATCGATTCTACTGTATCTGACGTTCCAATTTCAGTGAAGGCAACTGTAGCCATTCAAACTAAACTACTTGATAATATTGAAAATAATGACTTATTTGTTGAAGGTGGGTTTGCTAAGGACAATAAACTGTTTATTGCGCGAATTTTAACTAAAGTTAGGTCACGTAATGACAAAGTAATGCTGCAAGTAACAAACTTAACAGACTATCCTGTATTTTTACCAAAAAGTAAGGAAATCGTGGAAGTTGTTCCATTTATCGAAGAAAAAGTGCCTCGTGTGGACGATGCTCCAACAGAGGAGTTGAACACTGACACAAACGTTTCTAAGGATATTTTCTCAGAACAAGACCTTAAAATTAGTCATTTAAAAAAAGGATCGCTTCCTAGCACTTCTTAGAGAACTTAAAATCGTCAAATGTCCTGATTTGAGACAGGCTGAAATTGTTAAGCATAAAATCAACATTGGTGACGCAACACCAATTAAGCAGCCACCCTACATAGTTCCATTGGCAAAACAGGGTCTGATTGACAAGGAAGTGGAGAAACTACTCGTAAAGGAAATAATTAGGCCATCTTACAACAGCATCAATTTTCAAAACGCCCCTGGTTGTCTCCAGTTGTTTTCAAAACCTGACGGTTCCACCTGCTTTTGCATTGATTACATAAAGGTGAACTCTGTCACAAAATAGGACCCTTATCCCTTACCATGCATAGATGACACGTTGACTGCATTAGGTGGGGCTTTTTATTCTACAACAAAATGGTTATTGGCAGGTGGCACTAGCTAATGCATCTAAGGAAATTACTGTGTTTACAACCATTAAAGGGCATTGGAAATTTAATGTCCGTTGGCATAACAAATGCCCCAACAACTTTTCAACCATTGACGGACTTTGTATTAATAGGATTACATTGGAGCCATTGTCTGGTTTACTTAAATAAGGTCATCATTTTTGAAAAACATTTCATGAGCACCTAGAGCGCTTGCCAGTGCTACTTGACGAATTGAATCAGGCGGGTTTAATCTTAAAGCCATCAAAATGTCATTGGGCCAAATTGGAGGTTAATACCTGGGTTATCTTATCAGTGGTGACGGAATAAAGCCTGATCCAAGGAAAATTGATGCTGTTGCAAAATTTCCTAGACCTGAAAGCAAAACCGAAGTTCACGCTTTTCTGGGGTTAGCCTCATATTATGGAAGATTTATCAAAAATCTTGCAAGCATTGCTAAACCTTTAACAGAGTTAACAAAAACTGAGGAAACTGTGGCTTTGAATGGACCAAGAAGGCAGAAGAAACGTTTGATCAACTAAAAGATCTCCTAACTTCGGTGTCCATTCTAGGATGCCCGGATCATTAAAGCCATTTCATTTTGCAAACAGAAGCAAGTAATTGATTTTGCTGATTGTTTAATTTCTTGCTAATAAACTGAAAATAAACCCATTCTGTTGTAACATATTTTCCAGGATTTTCCAAAAACGAATTTAGAAACTCGAGAAATATTCACCATGAAAATTCTTTAGACCATTAGAAGACCAAATCTAGCTCAAAACATTTATTTTGAGTTTTAGCCTAAAAAAGTTTCTTTTACCGTAGCAGGCTACATTCTGCAGTCTAGTGGCCATAGAGTATCTTAAGGTAATTTCGAAAATGAAAATATGTCAGTTCTTATCATAAAAAAATTGTTCATAAGAAAGTATTACTCAGCTCATGAAAAGTTCAAAGAAGTTCTAAGCACGTTTTTTAACTCTGAAAAAGTTTTTTAAATCATTGTGTGACAAATGCCTCACAGATATGCTAATTTGCAACAAAAATTGGGCTATAAAAATGCCAACATTTTTAAGAAATTGTGCCTAATCGACTGATTTTTAACTTTCTTACAAAAAATATGTATTTCATCTTATTCATCACCAAATTTTATATCATATAATATTTTTTGAATTTTAACTTTTGTTAATCTCAATTTTTTCTTATCAAAATCTTTTAAAACAGATATCAAACTCATCCCAAATTTGGTTCCTTTATCCTCTTCAGCTTCCCTATCTTTGTCAACCATTTTTATCTTTTTTTCATCCATTTGCTGCATGTGTTGGAGAAATGGGCCAGGTGCACTTTGTTAGGGGGTGTCTTTCCTTTTCAATCGCTTTTGGGGTTTGTCTTGAATTAAAGGCTTTTAATACGTGGGTGCTGATGGAATTGATGAACTCCCAGGTATCGATAAAGGTGAATTGGAAGAAACTTGAACTAATGCAAATGATGGTGAGGCAGAAGTTGAAATAGATGGGTAGGGACATTCCAACTGATCTTCGGAAAAACTTGTTTCTGACCCTTGACTGTATGCTCCAGGTGAAATGTCCACATTGCTGTGAGTAGGCAAATTTGAAGTTTTCTCGTGAAGAAAGCACATGACTTCAAAATATTTGCATACAGGGAGATATGCTGCAGCAGCTTTTGATCTTGCCATGGGTCTTCTCTTGTCAAACCTTTTTTTAAGGGAATCTTTCAAATTTTTAAATGTTTTCTGCAAAAAAGGAACTAAAAAATAAAAACAGAAAAATAATGATATTTTGAATTCATCATTTGTTTATGTTTTGGGACCTTTCATTCTGTTTATGTTCATGTTTTTTTCAGTTCAGTTTAGGGATCTTTCATTTTTAAGTCCCATAGGGACCAGAGGAATTTTTTTGAAAAACAATCTTTATGTGACAACCCCCTTTTTATTCATATGAGAATAAAATGAACCATCCCAAGGTAAAAGTATTGAGACTCAAAAACGGGTCAGTAGAATTGATCAGTTGCTCTCTGTGGTTCTCATCAAAAAGTCAAATCAAAAGCAACAAACTAAAAATCAGGAGAAAGAGAGATAATAACAGAAAGGCAATTATGGGGTTCAAAAAACAATTGAGATCTAATTCTTTAGAAATGCTGAAAAGCTTAGTTCTGTTGGGAAATCTAGAACAATTATATTCTAGTATTCTAGAACAACTTACTTTGTATTCTAGATAATTCCATTCTAGAAACTATAAGAACAATTTTATAAAAACACCAGCCTCAAAACTGGTCAAAAGTCAAGAACAAATTAAGAACAAGCTGAGGCTTAGCTTCTGCAAAATGCAATTTTGAACAACGTTTTTGCTCAAAATCGAGGATTTTTAGCAATGTGTGGGTGCTTTTTCGGTGAATATTCCAATTTTACAATCCAGCCTCAGATTTTCGAAAAAATTAAAAACAATCAGCCTGAACTTAAATTTACTGGTTCTTATAAAAAAAATGTATCGTTGCAATTTGCTTAGTTATGCGTTTATGTTTAATTTTACTATCATTAGCTAACCTACTGCACTAGACATTCGAGAACTTTGGCCTATCAGCATGAAGTTGTTGTTATAACATCGTTTTCCTTACTGCCTCATTGTTAGCCGGTTGCTCTGGAATTATCTGGAAATTAGTTTATTTATGTAATCATTGCTAATTTCATATTCTAGTAATTATGATTCAGCATCCTAGAAATTTCTATCGTAAACGTATATATATACGCACAAAATAGTAGTTGCAGGAGAATAAGACTTGAATGAGAAATTTACATTAAAATTCTGCGAGTTTTATTTAGGGCTGATTTATATGTCGCGCTTATCTCGCACCGAATGAAATACTTTGCCTCTTCAAAATCTAAGTATCGATTAGATTCAACATTAGCACGGCGTATAAATCCAATTTGCAATTTAGCTCGATACAAATGCTAGGTGCGACTCAAGTTCGTCATGGTCAGCCGTGCTACACGACCAAAGCGCGAGTTGGCTTTAGACGTCGCGCTTTTGATGACTTGAATCAAATAGTGTTTTTTCCAGTCCGTCAAATACATTAGTTGCGCAAGCGCAGTGGTGCTAAGTTTTTGTTGGCGCCAAAGTATAGTTGGGTTGTTCTTGCTTCTTGTATTCATCTCTGAAGGAAAATGGCAGAAACAGACGTGTATGTAAGCAATAGCGTGGATTGCGGCAGCGAAAGTGAGGAAGCTGGCGTGGAATCCGAAATTTTTAATGAGGACGAAAGAGGGAGTTTTGGGTCAGAAAGTGAAGCGGAAGAGGCATGTAATGTGTTGTTTGAAAAGCGAAAGAAAAAGGCCGTGAAGAAGTCATCGTGGCCAATGGACATAACAAACAACCTAGTGGACGTTATCTGCGATAATGAGTATTTTCGCAAAAAACTGATTTTTACAAACACAAAGACTAGCAAGAACGGAGAAATTTATTTGAAGGTAATTTGAATTTTTTGTGTATTCTCAGCGTGATATTACAATATTATAATTATTTTAACAACTCATGTAATAAACAAAGCTGAATGACTCATGGAAATAACCCAGAGAGGGCTTTCGAGCCATGAGCCATTTTAGTTACATGAATTTGATCGATATATAACTCATAGGTTCTAGTATTTTGAAATCAGGAATTTCTATCTTTTGGAATGGAATTCCAAATATCAACACCAGAATTTGTTATAGAACCTTTACCATAGCTTGTTGTAAAGGATGGTTTGAAAAATTTCCCTGATGTAGCATGCCTTGTTTTAAAGTTATGAATGTCTTTGGATTTTTTTTAATAATTTCCCAAAAGTAGTATTATAAATGTTACTATTTAAATTGTACATAATTTTAGCACATTTGAATTATCTTATGTCTGCATTGCCTTATCATAAGAAGGTCTTGGACTTCTTCTTGTGTACGTCTTTGATTTGATGCTGAATCTTTGGAGAGGTCCCATTGCCTTTGAGCCAAATCTCCTTGTTCGATGCAAATGTTATGTAGTACTACACAAGCTAGTGTAACTGCACGTACTGTTTCCTTATCATTCTCAGACTTCCTGAGCAAGACTCTCCATCGACCTTTCAGTTGTCCATATGCACACTCTGTTACCATGCGTGCACGACTCAACCTATAATTGAAATAGCTCTGCTCTGGCATCAGTGTAGCATTTGTGTAAGGCTTCAGCAGCCAAGGCTTGAAGGGGAAGGCAGAATCTCCCAGGATTAAAGGTGGAATACTGACGCCATTCTCATGATGGGCAATAGGTGGAAAGGCTGTACCTTCAGCTAGTTTGGTATAAAGGTTTGTTGCTTGAAAGATTATGGCATCATGTGAATTGCCAGGCCAACCAGCACTTGCCCATATAAATCGATATTTGGCATCTACCATTCCCATTAGAACGATTGAGTAGAAATTCTTAAAATTATGAAATTCTTTACATGACTCTTGGCCACCAGGTGGGCACTTAATTGGTATGTGACACCCATCAATTGCAGAATATGCAAAAGGAAACTGCCATTCTTGTTCCATTTCTTTCATTTTCTCATTCAGCGTGTCCTTGCTATGTGGAAATTTGGCCTCAACAAATTCTTCCCATAAATTTTCAATGATTGCCTTAGCTACCTCTCTCACTATGTTGCACACAGTTGTTTCAACGACACCAGCTAGCTCTGAAATGGTATTGTAGTAGTCTCCTCTACTGAGTCGATACAAGCAAATTGCTAGTCTCATCTGGGATGGAATTGGTTCTTCTGTGACGCTCTCCTTCGTTAAATCATCCTTGATTCTATCATGAATTAAGGAAAATGTTTGCCTAGTCATTCTAAATGTCTTTTTAAACCTTTTCTCGGAATATACTGTCCAAACGAGGTTCCACCAACCAGTGTTTCGCAGCAACCTACGGCATGATCTTATCCTAGGCCTAATAGGCACTGCAACTGCTTGTTGTAAACCAGTAAGAATCAACTGTAGCAAAAAAAGAATCCGCAAAAGCCTACACCGTCTTCTGTTCATCAAATTAATCATCATTGCTTGCATATTCTGTCGTCTTCTCCTGGCTCCAATAAGCGACTTCAGAAGAAGCACTTTCTTTAGATGCGTGAAGGGCGCCATACGTGATTTGTCTTTGCTTCGAGTGTTTTCAGTTTATTGGTTCCCTGTGGCTGGCAACTCGCAGAAGTGTATTTTGCTATTGGCACGACGAAAGTTCATCGTCTAAATCAAAATCAAACTCCTTTGTCGCGCCAAACTCGCGCTTTCGTCGGTTCTAATTATATTAGATTTGGTGCGAGATAAGCGCGACGTATAAATCAGCCC